ATGGCATTTCCAGGATTCAATTTTCCAAGTGCTCCTCATGATGGTCTAAAAGTTTAACTGAACTTTTTTTTCTGCAGACGAGGAATCAGAGGTGACCAATGTACAGCTCCTGGGCCCCATTTGGATCATTGACCCCAAGAGTGTTCTCAATTCTGAGGGTGAACAGGCTCTTGCAGTGCATGCAGCTGAATCGGAACAAGAAGTGAAGCCCTGGATGGTGGCAGCTGTGGGAGGCCTGTGGGTGGTTGTAGTGATTGGGGCTGTACTAACCTGGAAAATTAGATCAAGAAAATGTAATGTGACCACAATTCAGCAATAAACTTTTTTTTTGCATAAGAGGTTTCCTTGTGTGTAGTTTTATATGCTGGTCCTTGTGATGCAACAACCTGCTAGGTCACCAGGTATCTTCCCTACAAGAGTTGTCAAAATGTTTGCCAATGGCTACCACACTGGCTTTTTCTGTTGGCCCCCTGGATCTGTTCAGGATCTGCTGGCTGTCTGGACTTCTAGGGCTACACCCAAGTAATACACATGATGGAACTTGGCTCTGGTTTGTACTAAGTCTGGCATTGCTGGCTTGTCATTGCCTAAATTTGCCTGTTTAACCACCTCCCATCTGATGCAGCATGCTGAGTGGGAAAAGATTGGATATTGGCAAACTCTGGGTCTGTGTTGGTGACTACCAACCCCTTCTCACCCGCGTCAGTGGAATATCAGTTGGAGTGTTAATGTGGTCACTGCTCTATGCTCTACTGCTGTCACTTGCTTCTGCTGTGACTTCTATGAAGGTGAATGCTGATGCTTGGATAGTTTTGCAGATCACATTAAACATTCCATATGACTTCCACAACACTTGCCTGAGCACCAAAACTGTTGTGAAAAGGGTACAATGCATGGACTTTAATGGCTGTCTAGGAGAGTTCTCTTGACTAGTCTCAAAACAAGATAAGGTGACCTCTCATCAAACGGGTGCCCCACAAAGATTTCCCCTTGCTTCCTGTTAACAATTTGGATTTTCTCACAACTTGGACACTGGTCACCAAGCCAGAGTGAATAAATCTCCCTTGTAGGGACAAATACTGATGGTGGTCAACAGGTCCTAGAAGGTGAAACTCCCCTGAGGGGACATAGATGGTAAGAATTTGACATGTTCTAACCTTTCTCAACTTTGTAAAACCCTAGCTTAAGGTTAACTTTACGGACAGTTTACAGCAAACTGTATGTTAATGGGGCCCTTATATTATGACCGTATTGTTGGACTGGAACCTTCAGACCATAAATTGGACAATCTTTAACCAGATGACAAGATGTTGCTCTGGATGTTGGTGCCAGATGAAAAGATGGCGCTCTGAATGTTGGTGCCCAAGACTAGGTACACTGTGGTCTCCTATTAAGCTTTTCACAACACTTTTGGTTATTACCTACATATTACTCAGATCCAGGAACAAGCCATAGTCACACTTCTATTCCTGTGAAGTAATTTCACTGCTCGTTGGAATGTTTTGTTTGGAAATGTAGTACAAAGCGCATGCCTTTGAAAGACCCAAAGGTTGTCATTGTCCTTGAGGGCAAATACATTATGTAATGTCAGGGTTTGTGTAAACTTATGCTGCAAGGCTTCCCAAATGGGGTCCTGTTTCAACCACTAAAACATCAGGTCTTTGAGGTGGTCTACAGTCTTGATGGAGACTTGGCTTGTGCAACCTGCAGCCCTGGGATCTCTTCCTGACTTGCCTTAGGCAAAGTCCCACACCATGCTGGTGTATCTCCAAGCCTGCTTTTTCTGTGCAGCTCAGGTGGGAGCTACAAATCCAAGCAGAATAGCCTTTGAACCACTTTTTACCCCACTTTAGTCATTGAGACAAAGTTCCCCCACCATTACTATTACTATTACTAAGTGATAGCTTGGATCTAAAGGAAATGTACCACATAATATTTAGGTTCCTGCCCCAGTGAGGTAAAAGGATCTCCATTGTTTCCCAACAGAGGTGGCCAGAGGTCATTCAGGTGCTCCTAGGGACTATGGAAGGTCCAGTGTGTGCTCTACTAATGCACTAATAAGTGATCCCTCTGGTTGGTTTCGTGTTTAAAAGTTAATCACTTTCTGGTGAATCGTCATTGTAGAGCAAACTGGGTGTATCTGTGCATCCCTAGTTCTTTTGGCATGTGCCGCGCTGCAATAAGGTTCCCGTCTCTGGATGAATGGCACCCAAAGAGATGGCAATTCGAGAGTCAGTGTCAAGCAAGCTGGGTATGAGTTTAGAGATGTGGTGACTTGTCCGGTCCTCTAAAAGGTGGCCCCCATGTAAGGGCCCAATCTGACTACCTGCAGACATTTTTGCCAGCTGTATCCTCTACAAATGTCTTTGTTCTCCATACAGTGCCCCATATTCTACCTGTGGTTGTATGAGTGATGTACACAGGGGGTAAACACTGCTCCCATGTGCCTTTATCCCTCTTACATCACACATTTGATTCTGATTTGTGGCTGCTGCCTGGCATTTCATGCATACCCCTTCATTGTAAACAGCAATCCTAAAACTACAATAATTGGGGTCGGCGGCTCGATTACTAAGCGCTGATGATCTGTCCCCTTTATAAGGTCAGCAGTGTCGTCATACAGGCAGTAACAGCAGCTGGTGACAACTGATAATCCCGTTGTGATCTTGGGCCCATCATTACAGATTTTCTCTGTTAAAAGGAATTTATGGTTAACTGAAAATATGTAGTCCTATCTAAATTGAATCTCCATACGTTCTATCCCACTCCTAATAACCACATCCATCTAGAAATCTGTAACCTTACTTAATGAAGATTAGGGATGCACCGATAAAGATACTAGTAATGTAGTAAAAGCTCCCGATGCTTATCCCAATACCGGAACTTCTGGTATCAGGAATGCGGGCGGCGAGTCATTACACGCCGCCCGGCTTCCTGATTTGCCAGAAAGCCGGCTCCATGTTTCTTCATCACCAGGGAACTGGCTTTCCAGCCACAGGAAGCCGGAATGCATGTAATGACTCGCCCCCGGCTTCCTGATTGGCCAGAAAGCCGACCATGTTTCCTCCTCACCTGGTGACGAGGTAGTATGGAGACGGCTTCATGGTCAATCAGGAAGCCGAGCGCCATGTAATGACTCGCCTCCCAGCTTCCTGATTGGCCAGAAAGCCAGCTCAGTGATTCCTCTTCACCTGGTGACGAGGGAGAAAGGATACAGCTTCCCGGCTAATCTGGAAGCCGGGCACTGAGTCAATACACACCGCCCGGCCTTCTTAATGGGACTTCTGGTATCAGCGAGTACTGGGAAAAAAACATTGGTGTAAAAAAACTGGTATCGGTGCATCCCTAATGAAGACGCCCATAGGATATACTTCTTCAATGCACTGACACAATATCACTCAGCCCTCTCTGAATATGCAGTTCCTTGTGTCACCGCTCTAAGCCTGCCATCTGAACTACAGATGAACAATGTAACATTATCACTGCTTGCTGGAAGCAATGTATGATGGGCGATGTAGTCTTTAGAAATGGAGATTGCATCACATCAAGCAGCAGGGAAACAGATGCAAAGCACACTGGGAGTCCAGGAAGTTGCTGGAAGTGATGGGCAGACAGAAGGCAGCACTCCCTACATATTTTTTTGTAGTAAGCTTTGATTGTATTATCAGAAACATCTGTAGTAAGTATCCCTATTCCAATGCTGCTGTTCTAACAGGATAGTACATGCTGGGGCTTTACACGCCTTTATATGATACAGATGATGACATTTGGCTCCGGCTCTCCGCACTGTCCTTGGCATTCCTAAGTTAAGGGGGCTGCAGCTTCTAATAGACAAAACCCCTGCAAGGCCCGATTTACACTTCGGCTGGTGTTAGCACAACGCGTTGCCATGCATTAAAAGCAGACGCTTCCTTTAAAAGACTGGCAGAGCACCTCTGTGTACACACACCATTTTATTATCTCCCAACACATCGGGGATGCTGAAACGCACTCCTTCCATGTAGCAGAACAGGGACAAATTCTATAAGAGAATAGTAACTGCGTTTTCCTTAGTCAGGTGGCATTTGAAGCAGACTGGAGTCCCGCTACAGGAGACAATCAGGAAACAAAAGCTCCAAAAAGCCTCGTCAGAGCTTACACAGGGCTATGGATGCCTTACTCTGCTCCCATGTGATAGCGCTGGACCTATCAGGAGGCACTGTTGCCATCACAATAGAAGCAAGTCACATGGTCCAACAGATTTTGAAGTCTTTTGCATCTCTCCCACAGGTGAATGTGGTGGTGGGGAGGAAGGACATGTTTGTATGGAGTTGAGAAGGAGCAATAAGTGACCCTATAATCCTTTTCTTGAACACCTATTCCTTACACCAACACTCTCCACACTAATCACCAAAACTTGCATCTCTTCATCCAGCGCTGGAAGAGCTGCACCAAACCTTCACTCCTGTGCGGACCATAACGCGCCCCGCCGGCAGTGCAGAGATCCAGCCGCGCCCCCGCCGGCAGTGCAGAGATCCAGCCGCGCCCCCGCCGGCAGTGCAGAGATCCAGCCGCGCCCCCGCCGGCAGTGCAGAGATCCAGCCGCGCCGTCAGTGCAGAGATCCACCTGTGCCCCACCATCAGTTCCAATGTCCACCTGTGCCTCACCGTCAGTGCCAAGATCCACCCATGACTCTCCATCAGTGCCAAGATCCACCCATGACTCTCCATCAGTGCCAAGGTCCACCTGCCAGCACCAAAATCCACCCGTCCCTCACTGTCAGCGCCAAGATACACCCGTGCCCTGCTATCATTGCAGAGGTCCACTGACATGGCCAGTAACCGATATACTCCTCTTCTATACACCATTCACTGACCAGCCTGATTAGAAACACGCACAGCCGTCATCTGAGTTTAAATTAACACTAACGTTTTATTAACAGAAATATATATTTACAACTGTAAACATTGGGAACTGGAGCAAGCAACTGTGCAAGTACATTTTTGGTCCCCAGTGGGGTCTAGGCATCATCTTCCACCACGATGACGTCATTGCTAGAAGAATTCAATAGATCATCATCATCATCATCATCTGTGAAAAGTCAGAGAGGAAAACAGAAAATTGCAAAATGTGCCTGAAATTCTGCTGTGCCCATTATGAGGGGCTCCCACCATCCCTGAGCTGAGTTCCCGGGTCTGTACACCTGCTGTGCCCATTGTGAGGGGCTCCCACCATCCCTGTGCTGAGTTCCTGGCTCCGCCCACCTACTGTGCCCATTATGAGGGGCTCCCACCATCCCTGTGCTGAGTTCCCGGTTCTGTACACCTGCTGTGCCCATTATGAGGAGCTCCCACCATCCCTGTGCTGAGTTCCCGGGTCTGTACACCCGCTGTGCCCATTATGAGGGGTCCCCACCATCCCTGTGCTGTGTTCCCGGGTCTGTACACCTGCTGTGCCCATTATGAGGGGCTCCCACCATCCCTGAGCTGAGTTCCCGGGTCTGTACACCTGCTGTGCCCATTATGAGGGGTTCCCACCATCCCTGTGCTGAGTTCCCGGGTCTGTACCCCTGCTGTGCCCATTATGAGGAGCTCCCACCATCCCTGTGCTGAGTTCCCAGGTCTGTACACCTGCTGTGCCCATTATGAGGAGCTCCCACCATCCCTGTGCTGAGTTCCCAGGTCTGTACACCTGCTGTGATCAACCAAAACTTGGTTAAGATAAGGAGAGGTTACGGTTGGAATTTCCATGGGCTAGAAGAAGCCGGCACAATTAATATCCCTTTTGGGTGGATATGACCTTTCAAATAATGATTATGAAAGCATAAGAGAAGGGAAGTGACGGAGAAAGCAGTGAGGGAGGTCATTAATAATCCGTGACTTCCACGTCTCCACCGTGTACCAACAAATGAGAGTGAATAGGAGAAAGCTGTGTGTGTGACGCAATCACCCGATGACAGAGGTGAAGAAAAACGGTGACATCACACATCACGCTTTGTACCGGAGTTGGCGGGCGCCCGTCTTTTCTCGCTCTCCTCTTCGCTGTCGGAGCTGATCGTGATGAGCTCCGCGGAAGCAGTAAAGATGGAGCTTGTGGAAACCTCGTCTGTGAGGTAGTAGAAGCAGCCTCGGGGGGAGTAGATGCTGCTATCATCCAAGGAGGAGGTGGACAGGAGGCTGGGGCCTTCGGAGGCCGTGCAGGTGGAGGAGGTGGAGTGGTCGCTAGAGGTCCCGGAAGAGTCAGTGTGGTCCCCGGAGGTTACGGGAGAGGAGTCCTCTGCCAAGGATGCAGGAGGGGCAGTTGATTGGCTGGAGGAGGTGGAGTGGTCGCTGTTGCTCAGAAGGATTTTGGACATGCTCTGTTCCAAGCTGTCTGGCTTGGCTGTACACTCCAGATGTGGCAGTGGGGATGGGGTACCAGTATCCTGCAGGTCCGGACTTGGATCCATATCAGCCCGCATGACTTCAATAGACTCATCTGACAGGTAGGCATGTCAATTACATTCAGATTCCCATCCAGCCATGTGAGGGGTTCCCCATCACTAACCAACCGTGAGGGGTTCCCCATTCCCACCAACCAACCAACCGTGAGGGGTTCTCTACTTCCAGAGGGCGACAAGTGCTCAACCAAACAAACACTCCGAGATGAACAGCTCCCATATTTTATCTTACCTGGTCCCCCCCTTTCCATTGCATACCTTATTCTGGACACAATGACGCCATCACCGGGTCTCTTATGCAATGCAGGCAGATCATGGCTGGTGGGAGGGGCAAGCAGGGTGCTGTATATAGCTTCCTGAAAACATCACAGTACCCTGCCCAAGTACTCCTCTCAAGAGCCCTCGGCACTGATACACTGGGCTGTCTCTTGGGAGGAGTTATGCAAATATCAAAATGCCGGGTCAGTCTGGAGGAGTGGGTGTTCCAAGGCCAGCTGCATTTGCATGAAGATTGCCCAAGGTAATGCCTCCATGAGTGGAATACCTGATATCCAATTAAGGGAAGGGGTGGGCTAGTCAGGCTGGGGAGGAAAGTGCTAGATAATGCTGGATGTCCTCCAGCCAGCAAATGAGGCGGGCTCTATCCGATTGGCTGCAGCTTCTAATGCACATTGTGAGACGCCCGCAGTGTGCAGTGAAGGCTGGTGCTTTCCTTGCCACATTAACCTGATGAGAGGCAGTACAAGTTCACTTTAGGGAGGGGGTGTGCTTCATGCAGTCAGAGGACAACAGAAAATCGGTGGAAGTGCCTAATGCCGCTCACCAGACTCCAGACGCTGTTCCTCCTCCTGTTGCTCCGTCAAACTGGTGGGCTCTGGCATCATGGACAGACTGGTGACTTCCTCCTGTCAGGGGCAACATACAATGAGTCTCCTACATCAGGGGTAGCCAAACGTCAGCCTTCCAGCTGTGATGAAACTACCAAGTCCCATGAGGAATTGCAAGACCGACGGCCACGACTTACACAGGCAAAGCATGATGGGATTTGTAGCTTCATCACAGCTGGAGGGCCGACCCCTGCGCCACAAGGTGAAAGTTCCTTACCAATAGTCTAGATACCAACATGTCATCGCCAGACTTCACAGGGCTCTTCCGGCACTCCACTGCGAGTCCCCGACTGACGAGCTCCTGTCCGATATCCAGCTTCTGCAACAAGGAGAGGAAGATCATCAGGCCTGAGATGGGGCCACACAGGAAGTGGTTAGGGGACACAGGACTGATGACACACACAGCAGGCCTCATTTAGACAGTTCACGGCAAATATACAAAAACATCTTTTCATTCGCTTTTCTTTAGGAATCATATATGAGAGAGAGAGAGAGAGAGAGAGAGAGAGAGAGAGAGACTAGAACTAGGGATGCACCAATACTGGTATCGGGACCGATACCGGGCATTTTCAGGAGTACTTGTACTGGTGAGAATGCCCGATACTAAAAAGGCCGATACTGGCCCTTTATATTTTTTTAAAACGGATCGGCTGCCGAGGTCCCGCGCTTGTGGGGTCCTCAGCAGCCTACTGGGGACCTGGCGGTAGTCGTCCATGGCAGTGCCTGTCCGGCCACATATCTCCTTCTCGGCGCAGGCACAGCCAACGACAGCCCCATACTGAACAAACAGCCCTGGAGACGGCAGGAGACCAGCGCCCAATCAGTCAGCTCGGTGCCCGTCCGCAGAGCCCAACATGCAGCCTGGGGACATGTGTACGCAGCCCTGGTGAGATGCAAAAGTAGCTCTGGTGACATCTGTACGCAGCTCTGGTGACAGCTCTGCACAGCCTGCAAAAGCAGCTCTGGTGACATCTGTACGCAGCCCCGGTGACAGCTCTGCGCAGCCTGGTGAGACGCAGCCCTGGTGAGATGCAAACGCAGCCCTGGTGAGATCTGTATGCAGTCTGGTGAGACGCAGCCATGGTGACATCTGCGCGCAGCCCTGGTGAGACGCAAACGCAGCCCTGGTGACACCTGTACGCAGCCCTGGTGACACCTGTACGCAGCCCTGGTGAGAGCTCTGCGCAGCCTGGTGAGATGCAAACGCAGTCTGGTGAGACGCAGCCCTGGTGACATCTGTGCGCAGCCCTGGCGAAAAACTGTCCAAAAATAATTAGTCTGTATTGTTTTAGAAAACAATGTCACATGCCCCTTTAAGAAAAAGTATCGGCAAGTACCTGAGGGAAAGTACTTGTACTTGGCATAAAAAAAAAAAAAAAAAAATTGTATCGGGACATCCCTAGTTAGAACCTTTGTCAGGGGAGATTTACCTTCACTTCCTGTCCTGAAGACACAACAGGAAGAGAAAATCTTTCTGAAGTAAGAAGAAACCCCATGTTAGACAGCAGTCACCCTTCTGTTCTGGGGAATACTGCATCCCATCACTTTCTGGCATGGTGACAAAAGCACAAATAGGGTGAATCTCCCCAGTGAATACACAGATAGTAATAAAAACCTGACAGAGGTTCTAATTTTGCTATATCGGAAATGCATGTTAAAGCCGATCTCCAGTATAACATGTGCATAGTATACAACATGCTCTTATGTTTAGCCCGGAGTTGAGTTTTTATTTGAAGGGGGCTCTGTACATATCTATATAGACCAGGGGTAGCCAAACTCCGGCCCTCCAGCTGTGGTGGAACTACAAATCCCATGAGGCATTGCAAGATTCTCACAGCCACAGACATGACTCCTGGAGAGAGATGCATCATGGGATTTGTAGTTTCACCACAGCTGGAGGGCCGCAGTTTGGCTACCCCTGATATAGACCGTACATATTGGCTGAGATAAAACAGAGGGCGTCTCTGACTCACCGGGTTCCCGGACGGGTCGTATAGGTGAATCTGGAAGTGGGAGATCCCAGGTGAAGGGAAACTGGCTATCTTGGCCAATAGAGGTTTCCATTTAGCGCAGTATGTCAAGGACTCAAACGCATTCAGCGCCTCGTGCGACCACTGCCCACCTGCCACAAGACACAAAACCTTGGAATATGAGACGACAATTCAATACGACAACCTCGTGGTCAGAGACGAGCGTTTGGGACTCACCTTTTGGGGCAACGTTGGCGAGGGCGCATTCCACCGCCTGGAACGGCAAACTGAGAAAGTCGCTCCTGAAAGAAAGGATGAAAAATCAGTAAACGAATAAATTGGCGCAGTATATGCACGGGGAGCAATGTCTGCATAGAGGCGGCTCTGCTACACACAGAGGCCCAATGACACCATAACAAATCATCGGCCATTTTATTTTTATAGGGGTTTTCCCGGTTTGCTTTAAAACCACAACAACTGTATTTTGCTATTCAACAAAAATTATGAGATGATAGGTTTCTGTACTCCGGACCATCACCCCTATATGAGCTGGTTGTGGACACCTGACCATCACCCCTATATGAGCTGACTGTGGACACCTGACCATCCCACCTATATGAGCTGGCTGTGGACACCTGACCATCACTCCTATATGAGCTGGCTGTGGATATCTGACCATCACCCCTATATAGGCTGGCTGTGGACACCTGACCACCCCCCCTATATGAGCTGGCTGTGGACACCTGACCATCACTCCTATATGAGCTGGCTGTGGATATCTGACCATCACCCCTATATAGGCTGGCTGTGGACACCTGACCACCCCCCCTATATGAGCTGGCTGTGGACACCTGACCATCACTCCTATATGAGCTGGCTGTGGATATCTGACCATCACCCCTATATAGGCTGGCTGTGGACACCTGACCACCCCCCCTATATGAGCTGGCTGTGGACACCTGACCATCACTCCTATATGAGCTGGCTGTGGATATCTGACCATCACCCCTATATAGGCTGGCTGTGGACACCTGACCACCCCCCCTATATGAGCTGGCTGTGGACACCTGACCATCACTCCTATATGAGCTGGCTGTGGATATCTGACCATCACCCCTATATAGGCTGGCTGTGGACACCTGACCACCCCCCCTATATGAGCTGGCTGTGGACACCTGACCATCACTCCTATATGAGCTGGCTGTGGATATCTGACCATCACCCCTATATAGGCTGGCTGTGGACACCTGACCACCCCCCCTATATGAGCTGGCTGTGGACACCTGACCATCACTCCTATATGAGCTGGCTGTGGATATCTGACCATCACCCCTATATAGGCTGGCTGTGGACACCTGACCACCCCCCCTATATGAGCTGGCTGTGGACACCTGACCATCACTCCTATATGAGCTGGCTGTGGATATCTGACCATCACCCCTATATAGGCTGGCTGTGGACACCTGACCACCCCCCCTATATGAGCTGGCTGTGGACACCTGACCATCACCCCTATATGAGCTGACTGTGGACACCTGACCATCCCACCTATATGAGCTGGCTGTGGACACCTGACCATCACTCCTATATGAGCTGGCTGTGGATATCTGACCATCACCCCTATATAGGCTGGCTGTGGACACCTGACCACCACCCCTATATGAGCTGGCTGTGGACACCTGACCACCACCCCTATATGAGCTGGTTGTGGACATCTGACCACCCCTATATGAGCTGGTTGTGGACACCTGACCACCACCCCTATATGAGCTTGTTGTGGACACCCGACCACCACCCCTATATGAGCTGGTTGTGGACACCCGACCACCACCCCTATATGAGCTGGCTGTGGACAGCTGACCACCACGCCCTATATGAGCTGGCTGTGGACACCTGACCACCACGCCCTATATGAGCTGGCTGTGGACACCTGACCACCCCTATATGAGCTGGCTGTGGACACCTGACCACCCCTATATGAGCTGGCTGTGGACACCTGACCACCCCTATATGAGCTGGCTGTGGACACCCGACCACCACCCCTATATGAGCTGGTTGCGGACACCCGACCACCACCCCTATATCAGCTGGCTGTGGACACCTGACCACCACCCCTATATGAGCTGGCTGTGGACACCTGACCACCACGCCTATATGAGCTGGCTGTGGACACCTGACCACCACCCCTATATGAGCTGGCTGTGGACACCTGACCACCACCCCTATATGAGCTGGCTGTGTACACCTGACCACCACCCCTATATGAGCTGGTTGTGGATATCTGACCACCCCTATATGAGCTGGTTGTGGACACCTGATCACCACCCCTATATGAGCTGGCTGTGGACACCTGACCACCACCCCTATATGAGCTGGCTGTGGACACCTGACCACCACCCCTATATGAGCTGGTTGTGGATATCTGACCACCCTTATATGAGCTGGCTTTGGACACCTGACCATCACACCTATACGAAACATCCCAATCTAAAACCATGGCCACCGCTCACCCCATTTTGTAGCTATAACATCTTCCACTCTTCTAGAAAGGCGTTCCACAAGATTTTGGGGCATGTCTGTGGGAATGTGTGCCCATTTGTGAGGTTAGGTACTAATGTTGGATCAGAAACCCTAGCTCCAGTAGGGTTGAGGTCAGGGCTCTGTGCAGGACACTTCAGTTCCTTTACACCAAACTGGTCCAACCATGTCTTCATGGAGCCGGCTTTGTGCCCAGAAGCACAGTCATGTTGGAACTGAAAGGACCTTCTCCAAACTGTTACCACAAGCTGAACGAGCAGAATTGTCTACAATGTCTTTCTATGGTGTAGTATTAACATTACCCTTCAATGGAGACTCCTGAACTCAGCACTGGGAGGGGGTCCACATATGTTTTGGCCATATACTGTAAAAATAATGTATTGAGCATCATTGCTCTCTATAAATCACTAGTGAAAGCACATCTAGAATATATAGGAAGGGAAGGGTTTAGGACACTCTATGCCAAGGCCACATCATGAATACGGGGGGAGGTTTAGGACACTCTATGCCAAGGCCACATCATGAATACGGGGGGAGGTTTAGGACACTCAGCGCCAAGGCCACATCATGAATACGGGGGGAGGTTTAGGACACTCTATGCCAAGGCCACATCATGAATACGGGGGGAGGTTTAGGACACTCTATGCCAAGGCCACATCATGAATACGGGGGGAGGTTTAGGACACTCAATGCCAAGGCCACATCATGAATACGGGGGGAGGTTTAGGACACTC